TCCATCAAATACATTCAATGTTATTAAGATCAACATGTGGTTTTTGTTGGCTATGTAATGTTTTATAACTACTTTTTATTTACGTAACATTAAAAATAACTGAGTATTTTTTTTTATTTATTAAAATAATTAGAAAACAGCTGGCAATTGTAGTGTTACAATCCGTCCAGGAGAGACAACTCCAAAATGAAACAACTGCTGCCTTATATTTTCTTCTCGGTTGGACAAAGGCTATGGAACCAAATCCAGAAAGAAAAGTAGGCTGAATTCGGAGACAAAGGTCTTTTTCGCGCATGACAATTTGACACAGAAAACTTAACTGTTTTTGGAGTAAATCCTATGCACTATTACAATGAAGAACGAAGAAGAAGGAGATAGAAATTTAATAAATAATAGCTTTAAAAAGAGGAATGGTCGTTTAATAACGCAATAAATAAAAAAAAAACTCAAGTTAACCATTGGGGGGTCATCCATAAATGACGTCACATTCGTAGGGGGGAGAGGGGGTCCGTAATTTTGCGACGATGTGTGATGAGGGGGAGGGGGTGTCAGATGTTGCGACGTCATACTTTTGCTTTATACAAAAGCAATGTTAGAAAACGAAATTTAGACGTTATTTCGCGTTTTAGATAACTGTTTTAATAAATTGCAATAGTTTAGACAAGATTTTAGAAAAATATCGATGTTTAAAAAAAATTCATATTCAACTGCAATTTTGAGGGGGGGTTGTAGGTTGAGGTGTGACGCCATTTTAGGGGGGGGGGGGTCTGAATTTTTGTGACGAAGTGTGACGGAGGGAGGTAAAAATCGTCAAAAAAAAGCGTGACGTCATTTATGGATGACCCCATTTCGAACTTAGCAGTCTATCGCGGTAGATAAATTAGAGTTCACTTGTTTCACCGACCTTATCAGTGTGATCAGCACTATGTACAGCTAATTTAGTTATTTTACATATTTTAGCGAGCAAAAGCTTTTTATTATAGGATGCAATTTTATTTTATTTTCGTATTTTCTAATGTATTTATTAAAAGCTTGCTTTTACAAAGTTTTTTTTATATATTTGCTTTATTTTCCACATTTTAGTCATTTATTCTAAATGTAGTTGACACTAGATAAGCTTTGACTAAAATTATTTGAATTAAAATCCCGACTAGTAGCTTGTATTCCTTGAAAGACAGTTATCTGACCCTAATTAGGTCGTGCTCGACGCGAAGACTAGAAATTAACCATCCGTGACTGTCACCGTTGTAAAAAGTTAGATAGAGTAATCGCTCGAATTTTGTTACTAAATTTAGACATTTTTAATTCAAAATTTAATGACTAATTGTCTATTTAATTAAATACAAAAATTATGTTCATGCATTGTTATTAAACAAGAATGTATATAGAAAACTGATCGAAATTGCGGGAATAAAAGTGGGCCAAAATTGAGTTACAAGATTTGCCACAAACCAACAAACAAACAAACAAACAAAAAAATGACGTTACGAACTAAATAAAGCTTGTAATAAACTAAATTAAAAAACCTTTATAGAAACAAGCTTTTAAATGCAGTGAAAATAAGAAAATAAAACTAATTTGCGTTCGTTTATAAAAGCTTTTGCCGCTAAAACATGTAAAAGATCTCATGAGCGACCAAATCTTTTAATAAAGAAAGCAAATTAGTTTTATTTTTTAATTCTTAGTATAATTAAAATCATAAAAGTTTTTCTGTTTTATTATCTACCCTTTTTAGATAATTTTAATTTATCAAGTCGACAAAACTAAAAATAATTGCACTATTAGTAGCTCGCGTAATCTTAAGGACGACTTTCAGCCCCGTAAAAGCAGCCGTCCGTGACCACATTTTACAGGCGACAGCAAGTTCAAAATGCTATTACATCTCCTTAGTTTCAAATCGTTTAAAAAGATTATCATCTGCTCCTAACAGCCTTCTCTAAATCGACGGTCTCTACGATTGTAAACATTCTAGTGAACCACAGCTCACCAAACTGTTAAGACGATCGCGTCAGCTAGTTGTATTCCCTTCTGTTATTGAATGTAGTAATATATCAAGTGATTTAAGTGTGTTATCTCCCCTTAGTTTCAAAACAGTTTAATTAATTTTTAAAGACTAATTAAACATATACTTTGATTTAAAAAATAGCTAAACTTGTATTGTCATCAAAGTTGAACTAGCCTGATAAGTTTGAACGAAATCGCTGCTTTAGAAGTGGGTCAAAATTTATTCAAAATATTTTGATTCTGTCAATTTTTACACCAGGCTAATATCTATCAGTTATAGTGTCTGTGCATCATGCATACAAATGTAAGTGTGATTGTTATATTTCTGAACGGCGTCAAACAACCCGTGACAAAACTGCTGAAGACAAAAGGGTTCTCATTCCTATCTTTATTATTTCCCTGATATTAGTTGTGTAAACTCCATAGCTTCAGTGGATTTAGGCACTCCAATGAGTCTGGGTACAGAATATATTTTGCGATTTACCAAAAGATTACG